TCACTGCTCTTGACCACTGAAGGATACAGCCTGACCCAGGACACAACTCCATAGTGCAGATGTTGACCAGCTGGAAGGCAAGGCCGGCAGGCACACATTTAAAGGGTCCTCCAGACAGAGCTACCTCCTGATCCTGGAGAACAGGTGACAAGTGGCTGCCTCTGGGGACACATGGCCGGGATGGAGACCAACCAAACACCAGGCCACTGTCACCAAGAAAGCAGGTTTTCCTGAATTTTTGTTTATTTGAAAGGCAGTTACACAGAGAGAGGAAGCCACAGAAAGACCTTCCATCTGCTGGTTCACTCCCCAGGTGGTCACAACAGGCAGGGCTAAGAGCTGTTTTCAGGTCTCCCACGTGGTAGCTGGGGCCCGAGCTTGTGGGCCAGCCTCTGCTGCATTTCCCGGCCACTAGCAGGGAACTGGATTAAAAATGGAGTGGTGAGGATATGAAGTGGCGCCCACAGGGGACGCTGGCTTCGCAGGCCGTAGCTTTACTCACTGTGCCACACTGCTGGCACCCCCGGTCTTGATGAGACCCCCAGCTCTGCCTCTGCTTACACCTCTGCTGCCAGAGCCTGGCCTGGCCCAGACCCTGGGGAAGCTTTGTGGAGGCATCCAGCTGGGACAGCCACACACAGAGAATCTGCAGCCTCGGAGTGTTAGCCCCTTGGCAAGTCACGGTGACCTCCAATCCTGAGGCCCACTGGGACCTTGCTCTCCTGTGCTCTGCCAGACACACCAGGCACTCCTTAGGTTCCCCCATGTTCCTGGCATGCTCACCCAGCTACTTTTTTTTTTTTAAGATTTATTTATTTTTATTGCAAAGTCAGCTATACAGCGAGAAAGATCTTGCGTCCAATGATTCACTCCCCAAGTGACCGCACAAGTGTTGGACCCCTATACCCATGTGGGAGATTGAGGAAGTTCTCTAGACTTCTGGCTTTTGACTGCAGCCCTGGCTGTTCTGGATATTTGGGGAGTGCATACGTGCATGGAAAATACTGTCTCTCCCTCCCACTCTCTAGGGAGAACACTGAATGCTTAGATGCTGGCTTGGAGCTGGCACATCCAAGCATATTGGCAGGTGGTTGTATCTGAGTGGAGCAGCTAGAATTCAGACTTGCGTCCTTAAGTGAGGCCAGCCCCACAAGCAGCAGCTTTACTAACTATATGCCATAACGAATATGATCATAAGAATATGCTGATCATAAAGAATAAAGATCATAAAGAATAAAGATGTTGATCATAAAGAATATGCTCTTTATTCATTTAGTTACTTGAAAGCAAGAAAGAAAAATAAACAGACAAAAAGAGATTTCCATCTGCTGCCTCACTCCCGGAATGACTGCAACAGTCAGGGTTGGGCCAGGTTGAAGCCAAGAACCAAAACCTCCATCCAGGTTTCCCATGAGGGTGGCACGGATGCAGGTTCTGGAACCATCAGCTGCTGCCTCCCAGGGTGCAGTGGCAGGAAGCTAGACTTGTAATCAAAGTGGGGACTCAAACCCAATCACTCCTGTGTGGCTATGGGTGTCCCAAGCCATGGCTTGAGTACTGGAGCATTTCCTGCCACACCAAGACTCAACTTCCACCCCTTAGCATCTTTGGAAAGATTCTGACATGGCAAGTGTGGGGTGTGCTGATTCCAACATGTCTTCATGATACAGTTATGCTGTCAGATGGAGGATGGATAAGAGGCTGAGTGTTTCAGGTGCAGTGTGGCTGCAATGGCTGATGGGATTCAAATTGGGGAATGTCCTAAAGGTTGAGTTCCAAAATGTGAACTCAGGCCAGCGTGGTAATTTAGCAGCTAAAGTCCTCAACATAAACACGCCTAGATCCCATTTGGGTGCTGGTTCTAATCCTGGCAGGTCTGCTCCCCATCCAGCTCCTTGATGTGTCCTGGGAAAGCAGTGGAGGATGGCCCAAAGCCTTGAGACCCTCTGCACCTGTGTGGAACACCTGGAAGAGCTCCTGGCTCCTGGCTTCGGATCAGCTCAGCTGTGGGTGTTGCGGCCACTGGGGAGTGAATCAACGGATGGAAGATCTTCCTCTGTCTCTTCTCCTCTCTATATATCAGACTTTGTAATAAAAATAAATCTTTGAGAAAAGAATTAAAGCCCCAAACTGATCAGAATGTGCATTGACTAAATTAATACGACTGGCATGTGGGGGTCAAGGAGAGCACCTAGGAAGCTACTGGTAGCCGTGTGTGGGAGCACCCAAGAAGCTGCCGGTAGCGGTGTGCAGAAGGCTTACCTTGGGACTTGTCAGAAGAATCCGGAAGAAGTCATTTCATGTCACAAATGGATGCTCAAAAGCTGTAAAGCACACCAAGGTATAAATAAATCGGGAGATAAAGTCAGAAGCATTTTGGCAGAAGAATGAAAGCACGAGCAGGAGGTAGAGGCTCTCATTTAGCTTCAGCTTTATTTTACTTAATTTCTTTGAAAGGGAGAGAATGAGAGGGTTTTCCATGTGCTGGCTTGTTCTCAAAATGGGCACATTAACTGTGGCTGGGCCAGACCAAAGCTAGGACTCAGGAAATCCTTCAGGGTCCCCCACATGGCTGCTGGGCCCAAGCACTTGAACCATCCCCCTCTGCTTTCCCAGGCACACTGACAGGGAGCTGCGTCATACGTGGAGCAGCCAGGACCTGAACAGCGCTCATTGAGCATGCTGGCATCACCAGTGGTGGCTTACCACTCAGTCTTCAGGCCCTGCCTGTCCCTGTGGTTGTGGCTGAGGGCAGGGAAGATCTGAAAGTTCCAACCCGCTAATTCTCCTCTGCGCTTTCTAGGGGAGCCCCCCAACACCCTATCTGAGGTCTCCCTGCCTGCCCCTGATCTTGGAGGACTCCACCGGCTTAGGAGCGGTATGCCTGGCAATTGCATGAGTCACCAAGGTCACATGGCCCTGTCTCCTGTTCCCCACCACATCGCGGACAGAACAGTACTGGGCCCTGCCCCAGGTCCTCCTCGCTGCCTGTGGCCTTCCGTCTCTGTCTCTTGCTGAAGGGCAGTCACGCACGCGCCAGGGGCGTTCTCATCTGATCAGACTGCCCCGGCCCCCACCCCTTCTGCGGTGGCGTCTCCCTTAGACACCCAGATATAGCTTCTCCTCCCACCGTCCTGTTTCTTTGGCCTTCCCCACCATTTCCTATTTCTTATTTTGCCTCCCCCATACACACCCTCATTAAAAGTACAGTCCTCTCTGGCAGCCCCACCTGCTTTCCCGGTCTGTCGTTCTGGCCAGATAGTGGCACTTCCGGTTCATCTTCCGCTGCCGAGCTGCATGTCAAGTGGGGACGATGTGCAACTCCTTGTTTCTGCAGAGAACTCTGCCACCAACACCTCATGCAGGAATGCCTCTGCGTTCACCCAGATTCCCGTGCGCGTGACAAACCCACAGGTCCATCTACAAACTCGGAGTCCTGTGTTTCTGCGGCAGCCTGGAGCGCCCGGGAAGCCCTTCCTCCATGATCCGGCTTCCCTTGAGCACTTGGTCCAGCTCATTCTCCATCCGGGCTCTCTGTCCTGGAAAGCCTGGGAGACCTCAGGCTAAGCCCCCTCCCACTCCTGTGATGGAGGTCACCTGCTCCTCAGATCCTGTCAGAGTCCTCCCCTCGCCCAGCTGAACGGCTGCACGGCTGGCCTATGCCCAGGATGCTTCAAATCTAAAGCCGGCTTCTCTGTGCGTGTCTGAGGCCTTGACACCATAAGGGCCGGGCTGGCGCCTGAGCCGCCTTTACATCTCCGCAGGATGAGGATCCCAAATGCAGAATCCCCAGAATGCTCTGGCTTCTGGAACTTTCCGAGCACCAACAGAACCCACCCTCTGAGCTTTTGGATTAGGACCGTTCCACCTCAGGATACTCCAGCAGTGCCTACAGCTGTTCCAGCTGTCCCAGCTTCCAGCACCCAGGCAGTGCTCACAGGAGGGCGGACAGGAAGTTAGTATGGCTCCTGCAGCCCCCCAGCCCCGGGGCCTCCACCAGCTTGTGTGAACTCAAGAGGCTGGGGAGGACAGACGCAAACCTGGAGCTTCTCAAGGAGCAAGCTAAACATCCGATTTAAAAAAAGATTCTGGAAGTTGTTACTACAAGGGCTTCAGGAAATGCCGCGTCTTGTTCCTATTGTGTAGCTGGAGGAGGGCTCCGAAGGAGGCTGCACGCCCCCGGGCGAGGCCTCTCCGCCTCAGCGGGACCTGAGCTCCACCGCGGCCCGCCGTGTCCCGCGTCCTCGGCCGGGGGCTGCCGGGGTGGCCACGGGAGGCCGCCCGCATCCCGCACCGCGTCCTCAGCGCCGGGAGAGGGAGCGTGCGGGCGCGGCTGAGCCCGGCGGGGCAGCAAGCTCCTCGGGGAGAGCCGGCCGCCGGGCGTGCGTGAGGAGACCCCGCGCCGCCGCACAGCATCGCCGTCAGGCGAGCTTTACTTCAAATTTCTTTCTTTTTCTTCTTGATTCCCCAGGACTCGGGTCCAGCAATTCTGGTCGCAGCAACCTGGACCCAGGCCCGCGACCCCCGTCCCTCGGGCTCCCAGCCACGCCCCCTCGCCCACACGTCCATCTCGCAGGCCCCGCCTCCTGGCAGGCTCCGCCCTGTCTGCCCCGGATTCGGGGGCCCGCTCCGCCCCACACGCTCCTCGCGGACCCCGCCAGGCCCCGCCCCTCGCCGGCCACGCCCCCTGCTTCCACGCCACGCGCCCTCGGTCTCCACGCCACCACCCCTTGCCGGCCCCGCCCTCGGCCTCCGGGCCCCGCCCCTCTCCGGCCCCGCCCTCGGCCTCCGCGCTCCGCCCTCCCCGGCCCCGCCCTCGGCCTCCACGCCCCGCCCTCTCTGGCCCCGCCCCGACCTCCACTCCCCGCCCCTCGGCGGCCACGCCCCCGCCGGGACAGCTGCGCTTGGGCGCGGGCGCCTCAACTCCCGAGCATTCCGAGGGAAACTTGGCGAGGAGCGCGGCCGGCGCCCTCCAGCGTGGTGCTGCCGGCGCCGACGGGCCGGGGGTGCTTGCGGTCGGCATGGGGAGCGGCGCGGCTCGGTAGGCGCGGGGGCGGCGCCGAGCTGGTCTTCACCCGGATCCCCGCGCCTCGGACCCCGCGGCGGCCGCCCCGGCCGGAGCGCGCGTCCCCCGCGGGCTGCGCCGCGGTCCCGGGCGGAAATGGCCGTGTAGCCTCGCGAGCGGCGGCGCGCGGACCCCCGAGGCGCAGTCATGAATTCCGGAGTCGCCGTCAAGTGCGGGAGCGACGCCGCGGCCGAGCTGAGTGAGGTGGGCTCCGCCGGGCGCGGGCGGGCCGAGGCGGGCTCTCGGGGGGCTCTCGCTGGAACGGGTTCGCGCCTCGGGGAGGCCTCGGTCGCGTCCTGGGAGCGCGCGGAGCCGGGCGACCGCAGGAGGCGTGGTGGCCGTCGGCCTCCCCGCGGGGCAGAGGGAGAGGGCCGGGGCAGGCACCCAGGGGGCACCCAGGGCTGGCACCGAGGGCGACCCGGGGCAGGGACTCGGGGCAGGCACCCAGGGGGGACCCGGGGCAGGCACCCAGGGGGAACCCGGGGCAGCGACTCGGGGCAGGCACCCAGGGCGACCCGGGGCAGGCACCCAGGGGGAACCCGGGGCAGCGACTCGGGGCAGGCACCCAGGGCGACCCGGGGCAGGCACCCAGGGCGACCCGGGGCAGGCACCCAGGGCGACCCTGGGCAGGCACCCAGGGGGGACCCGGGGCAGGCACTCAGGGCGACCCGGGGTCAGGGGTGGAGGCCGGCTGGACCTCCCTCCCTCCGGAGGGTGCCCCCTGGCTGTTGGCCCTGCTCCGGGTAGGAACCGGTGTGGGTGCCGGCTCCAGCTGGTAGGGCAGCTGTGTTTCCCGGAGAGGTGCTTCCGCGAGAACTTAAACCCCAGCGAGTGAAGAAGGTGTGAGGACTTGAGTTTGAATTGTATGGTCTTCAGTCCGCAGGCTCCACCGGGATCGGGGCTTTCCTCCGCCCTTAGGCTGCTTGAGGAGAACCTTCCTCGCAGACCCCTGCTAGGTCGTTTAGCTCATTAGGTCGACTGGAATCTCCTGCTGTCTCCCCCCCTGCCCTAACCACCTCTGACAGCCTTCTGGTGCACGAGCCCCACGTTCTCCCTCAGTTGCTGTGTCTTTTTAATCCTGGCCTCCCGGGAGATGGAGTGGTGCGAGGCTGCAAGGTTCGTTGTTTTTACTTATCGTGTGTGTTTCAAATCCGGGGACGTGTGAAGAGAACTTCAGAGGAGAGGATATGTTTGGTTCGTTTCGTCCTGGGCTAGAGCTTTGCAGGGCAATGTTGTCATCTTTGATGGTTACTGGCCTCCTCACCTGGAAGCGGAGCTAGTAAACCTCCCGGGCCCCTTTAGTGCCTTATCTCTCATTACCGGGAGCCTCAAAGCTGCCGGAGGTCAGGAGGGGGTCAGGCGCAGCCGAGTTCTCAGGCATCACTCCTTGTCGGTGCCGCCTGGTGAGCTGGCCCTTCCTGCAGGTCCTCAGGTTCTCATCGTGGCCTCCTGGCCCAGTGACCGGCAAGCTTGGGCAGCAGCTGCGCCTGCGCCTAGAAGGCAAGGCAGGAGGGATTGGGGTGTGAAGGTTGCATCGTTGGGACATCCAGTGCCGGGTGTTGGGCATGGAGTGTTCCAAGGTGGAAAGCCAGAAGATGGATGTGTGAATGGGTCCTTTTGTGTCTGCTCTGAGCCGTCGCCATTTACAACAAGATGAGTTGGTTGAAGGGTGAAATTACCTCTGAACACTCAGACATGTCTGTATTGATCCATGATCGCAAGTAAACTGACAGAAATGCAGAAGAGAACTTTGAGAAGCGTGACTTGGGTGATTTGCTTCCCATTACAAAGACTTGAAAATAAGGAAGTGCCATGGGGCATCTTCGTTGGGTTTCTCTTTTCTGCATGAGGTGAAGAGTTCGAATCCAGGAGACCCACAAGGAGAGCCGGAAGCAGGGATTTTGGGCAAGGATGGTGGTACACACTCTGACATCAACTGGCAGCCTCTCTGGGGAGAGGGGTGGCTGCTGTGGAGTCATCCTTGTTACGGGGTGGGGAGTGGTGGCCTGATTGAATATAGGAAGTGGAGTTTGGGAATCTCGGGTGTGCGGCCGTGTACACTTGGGGCTGCCGCATGTGGTCATCTCTAGGCAGGTCTTGGTGTGTTGCCGTGGGGGTGAGGCTCAGGTGCCCGAAGAGGACACTGTGCTGAGCTTGCACATCCAGCCAGCGCACCGAAGGGCGTGGGGTTTGCAGAACACACAGCACAGAGGCTGCTGTCCGACTTGGGCTGCAGCTCCTCCGTGCTGCCTCCCTGCCTGCTTCAGAAGGAGCTCACCAGCAGCCACTCTAAAGGTCCTTAGGGGCGGGCACTTGGCCCAGTGGTCAAGACACCCGTGTGCCACGTTGCCAAGGCAGTGGTGATGATTTAGATAGCCCGTGGAGGCCTGGGGTTCCGGCTGCCAGCTTCGCCCCGGACCAAGGCCACTGCAGGCATTACCAGCCCTCGGAGAAGCTGGTGTTTGGCTTGGCTGTCTGCATGTCCCCACCGGGAAGCTGAATGGTCACCCGTCCAGAGAGCTTGGGTTTGTCTGGGAATGGCTCTGGTGGCGCCCTCACTGTTTGAGGTCAGCTGTTATCTTTTTGTCTTAGTAAAGCGGTGGGCCATTGTTATGTCCTTGCTTCATCCACAGTGAGCTTTCTTAACTCTTAGTCCGAGCAAGATCTTGGAAGGAAGATGTCTGAAGGTCCAGCAGTTATCTGGGAAAAGCCTGAACCAACCTTGTCTTGCAGACGGCTGCCATTTATATAGAAAGAGGAAAACCTCTTGAAAGTGTCCTTTCCTGGAATCCACTGATATCTTTGGAAATGAAAAACAAAACGCTCCTCTTTGTCAGTCAAATAATTGATCTGAAGCAGTCGACGTAAGATCCTTGTTTTTTAAACACCTAAATAGTGAACAGGAAAAAAAAGGTCTGCATCACTGGTTACTCTGGGAATTACGTTTTTCTTGCTCTCTCCCACCCTGTTTTTGAAAGCTTCCTTGTCCAGCCGCTGCCCTCCTGCACTGGGCCATCGGAGGCTGTCTCCACGCTCTTGCCATTTCATTGTTGGGTCATTCCTGGTAGCTTTTCACTGTCACTCTAAGAAAGAATTTGACAGAATGAAATTGTCCTTTATTTTGTCTTGTAAGTGGATTGGACGCCTCACGGACACGTGTGTCCTCTGTCATCCGCTCAGGGACAGAATGCCCTCGTTGGAAAGGGGATCACTTCTGGGAGCTTGTCCGGTCTGACTCCTCAGTTCCGGGGTGCCCGCTTGGCTGCTGGTCTTACAGGTGTGACGAGTTGTGTAGTGGCCGTGTTAGCCACAGATCATACGTGTTTAGGACCTGGTGCAGAATCTTGCACATTATCAGTGTTCTACATACAAGCAATTGAATTACATGAGCAATTCACTGCTTCTCTCCTGTCCTTTTTAATAAATACAATACTTTCAAATTTATGATTTCACAGGCAGAGAAGGAGTTCCTCTCGGAGAGGGGATTCCTTCCAAGTACCTGCAGGGGTTGGTGGAAGCCAGCAACTAACAACTTGGTCCTGGCTCCTGTGTGGGTGGCAGGAACCACTGTAGGAGCCGCCTCACTGCCTTCCAGGGTCTGTGTTAGCATAAGCTGGGGTCGGACACGGAGCCTGGACGCTGGGATGGGGACACGGGTTTGTTAGCATAAGCTGGGTTCGGACACGGAGCCTGGACGCTGGGATGGGGACACTGGTGTCTTAGCATGCCCAGTCCACTCCCAGGGTGAAGAGAGATCCTGGGTAACCAAGATGTTGGAATGACACAGCCATTTCTAAACCACTGCAGGGTTTACAGAATGACATCGTTAATTTTCAACTCATTGCAGTAGTTTTTGCTGTTTTGTATTTTAGCTGTTCACTTGTAGTTTGTGGGTAGCTAGCATTTTCTAAGCACCTTCCAAATATTGCCATGCTGATTTACCAAAAGCTGTACGAGGCACATTCTGGTAGGTTTATGTTAAAGATACAGAACGTGAGGCAGGAAGAGGTGAAAAATTTAGCAAGACCACATGGTCTAAGGAAGTTGGGATTAGTTGATTCCGAAGTGGTTTTTCCCTAGAACTGCATCATTTTATGCCTTTTTAGTTTGTGTGTCACTTCTCTGAGCTTTCGATCACGGATTGCTAGGAGAGAGCATTCCATTTAGTCAGCTTGCTTCTTGTTGAACTTGACTTGTGTTGTAATCTGTGTGCATGACCCAGATAAGTATACTTGATAAGGAAAGGGGTGTTACTGGAGCACAGGGATTTTGTCCCTGCCTGTGCCTCCAGGTGGGTGCGATATTCAGAGCACTGCCTTTGCAGAGCCCTGAGAGCAGACGGTCTGGTCACGGGTAGCAGGACCCTCATCCGGGAGGACCCTCTGCTCTCTTACTGTAAGGGAAAGGGAGGCACTACAACTGCTGCCTGCACCCGCTGGGGTGTCGGAGGGGTGCTGAGGTGTCAGGGCAGGAATGGAGGCCTCCCTCAGCGTTAGGAGTGATTTGTCAAGCTCTTGGTGCTCCTCTTCCAAGGCAGTCCTCACATTCAGTAAAGGTGTTAAACTTTGAGAAAATTCTTCAGGTGTGTTAAACTGAGAAAATTCTTCAGGTGGAAAAATGCAGTTGGCAACTATTTGTACCTACCATAGAAAAGGCTGTAGGTTGCATTTATCAGGTTTTTTTTTTTTAAGATTTATTTTTTTTTTTATTGGAAAGGCCGTTATACAGAGAGGAGAGACAGAGAGGAAGATCCTCCGTCCGATGATTCACTCCCAAGTGAGCGAAACGGCTGATGCTATGCCGGTCCGAAGCCAGAAGCCTCTTCCTGGTATCCCACACGGGTGCAGGTTCCCAAGGCTTTGGGTCGTCCTTGACTGCTTTCCCAGGCCACAGGCAGGGAGCTGGATGGGAAGTGGGGCTGCTGGGATTAGAACCGGTGCCCATATGGGATCCCGGGCGTGCAAGGCGAGGACCTGAACCACTGCGCCATCGCGCCGGGCCCCCATTTATCAGTTTTGTAACAGATAAGCAATGGAAGATTCTCAGGCTAGGGTGTTTGTGTGGTAGAAGCTCCTCTGTGGTTGGGATATTATTAGATTCCTGGAGACTGCCTGGCAATTAGAAGGGGAACTAGGGTCTCTGCTTGGTTGCAAAGAAAGAGTGGGAGGAGCTGCCAGGAGCTGCTTTCCTATGGGATGTGTGAA